GCTTATATTGGGAAAGGGTGAGCTAAGTTAGGCATTTGAAGTCTTTGTAACTGAAAGGATAAAATTATCCCTTGTGTAGATTGCCTGTAAAGTTTGTGAAAGCCTCTTGTATTTGGAAAGTTTTTAGGACAGATGAGACAAACATCTGTCAGGAGCTATTCAAGTTGAACCAATCGTGTTAAGGCAAGGAATGGATGAGAGACCTCTTGAGGACTCTTCAAGGTTGGTTTTTCTTTTTTTGTTTTTTTTTTTTTTTTTTTTTATGATTCTATAAAATAAATATTCCTGACACTTTCAGAGGAAGTATTTAAACTGAATAAGAGTCAGCTATGAGCCACTGTATTTGTGTGTGACTACACAATACCTTTGCTCTGTGCATAAGTGTTTCTGAAAAACTCTTGTATTAGCTTTTGGCTATGTAACTGATTTTTCTGCTGTAGGACTGCTTTCCATCAGACAGTTTTATCTTGTAAATATTGATGCAGAGAGGAAATCTGACAGCAGTTTGCTATTGATTTTAACTGTATTTACACAAATGAGTGTATGTACCTATGTATGCTTAGGTGCTTTGCTTTTCCTTTGCCATTGGAGCGCATGATTTTTAATAATGTGTTCTGAACTGGTTGGGTAGCAGGGAAGAAAGAGTGTGTTGAATCAGGATGATAAATTTCACTGGAAACCTAATAGGTTTCAGCCAGTTGTTCTAAGAGCTGTAGAGTAACTGCCCTTAAATACTTGACCTTTGTGAATGTACGCTTACATTTAACCTCATACCAAAATGTCAGCCTAGGGAACAGGTTAAGTGGCTCTTGATCTTCATTTTATTTATTGCCTTTAAATTGCAAAGGCTTTGTGTTTGAGAATACATGTAGACAGATAAACCCATCTTTGAATAAAAGCCAAGGAAGGGCTTGGGTAGAGAATCAGCATCTAGTGACCAACTTATTGTTGTGTACTCATTTATTTTAAGCTTCATCCCATTGAGCTTGATGATTATGTGCTAAAAAGTGAAGAGGAAGAACTGGCAGGTGAGGTCACCTTTCTGAAAAGGGAGACACAAGAATTATCCTGTATATTTTACCCAGATGATTGTCAGCTTATGGCTTGCTATACTGCTAAGGGTCTCTTGCAGTGATGCCTTGAAAAATCATCCCCTGCCTCCTTTATTTAAGTTTTTTTTTTTTTAAATTTTGATACTTGGCCATGCTGCCAGAGGTTTTATGTTGCTGAGGCAATGCAAAGCAGCTGCAAAATTGCCTGAAATATACTGGGACATGTATTGTGCTGAATGTTGTACTACATGCAGGGAAAGAGAGAAATGCTGAGATTATCTAATTAGAATCATAGAATCATAGAACAGTTAGGGTTGGAAAGGACCTTAAGATCATCTAGTTCCAATCCCCCTGCCATAGCAGGGAAACTTCACACGAAACTGTCCTGGGTTCAGCAGTAGCAGTCATTTTTCTCCTTCTTGGTAGCTGGTGCAGTGCTGTGTTTTGACTTTCAGCTCGGGAACAGAGCTGATAGCGATGTTTGGGTTTGGTCAAGGACTTTGTGAGCCTCATGCTCTGCCAGGGAGGAGGGGAAGCCAGGAGGAAGCAGACAGGACACCTGACCCAGACTGACCAAAGAGGTATTCCATACCACAGCACGTCATGCCCAGGAGGTAACTGGGAGTTACCCAGAAGGGGTGGTAGACTGCAGGGTTGGAGGAGGTATCAGTCGGTGCCTGGTTCTGTTGGGAGGGGCGAGTTATCGGTTGGCTGATGGTGAGGTGATGTATTCTCTTCCCTTGTTATTCCTTTATCATTGTTATTATTGGTGGTAGCAGTAGTGATTTGTGTTATACCTTAGTTACTGGACTGTTCTTATCTCAACCTGTGGGAGTTGCATTCTTTTCAATTTTCCTCTCCGTCCCTCCGGTCATAGGGGGAGGAAAAGAAGGGGGGGAGTGACTGAACGAGTTACCTGACTAGTTAAACCATGACAAAAACCATCTCACCCAACCTGGCCTTGAACACCACCAGGGATGGAGCATTCACAATGTCGCTGGGCAACCTATTCCAGTGCCTCACCACCCTAACAGGAAAGAATTTCCTCCTTACATCCAATCTAAACTTCCCCTGTTTAAGTTTTAACCCCTTACCCCTTGTCCTGTCACTACAGTCCCTAATGAAGAGTTCCTCCCCAGCATCCCTATAGGCCCCCTTCAGATACTGGAAGGCTGCTATGAGGTCCCCACGCAGCCTTCTCTTCTCCAGGCTGAACAGCCCCAACTTTCTCAGCCTGTCTTCATCCGGGAGGTGCTCCAGTCCCCTGATCATCCTCGTGGCCCTTCTCTGGACTTGTTCCAACAGTTCCATGTCCTTCATATGTTGAGGACACCAGAACTGTACACAATACTCCAGGTGAGGTCTCACAAGAGCAGAGTAGAGAGGCAGGGTCACCTCCTTTGGCCTGCTGGTCACACTCCTTTTGATGCAGCCCAGGATACGGTTGGTTCTCAGGGCTGCAAGCACACACTGAAGCCGGCTCATGTTCATTTTCTCATCAACCAACACCCCCAAGTCCTTCTCCGCAGGGCTGCTCTGAATCTCTTCTCTGCCCAACCTGTAGCTGTGCCTGGGATTGCTCCGACCCAGGTGTAGGACCTTGCACTTGGCATGGTTAAGCTTCATGAGGTTGGCATCAGCCCACCTCACAAGCATGTCAAGGTCCCTCTGGATGGCATTCCTTCCCTCCAGCTTATCGACTGAACCACACAGCTTGGTGTCATCGGCAAACTTGCTGAGGGCGCACTCAATCCCACTGTCCAAGTCAGCGACAAAGATGTTGAACAAGGCCGGTCCCAACACCGATCCCTAAGGGACACCACTTGTTACTGGTCTTCAGCCGGACACTGAGCCATTGACCACAACTCTTTGCATGGGGCCATCCAGCCAGTTCTTTATCCACCGAGTGGTCCACCCATCAAATTGATGTCTCTCCAATTTAGAGACAAGCACGTCCTGTGGGACAGTGTCGAACGCTTTGCACAAGTCCAGGTAGATGACATCAACTGCTCTACCCCTGTCCATCAGTTCTGTAGCCCCATCATAGAAGGCCACCAAATTGATCAGGCAGGATTTCCCCTTAGTGAAGCCATGCTGGCTGTCACCAAGCACCTTGTTGTTTTTCATGTGCCTTAGCATGCCTTCCAGGAGAATCTGCTCCAAGATTTTGCCAGGCATAGAGGTGAGACTGACTGGTCTGTAATTCCCTGGGTCATCCATTTTCCCCTTCTTGAAAATGGGGGTTGTATTTCCCTTTTTCCAGTCATCGGGAACTTCACCTGACTGTCATGATTTTTCAAATATGATGGCCAGTGGCTTAGCAACTTCATTCACCAGCTCCTTCAGGACCCGCGAATGGATTTCATCAGGATCCATGGACTAGTGCACGTTCAGGTTCTTAAGACAGTCTCAAACCAGATCCTGTCCAAGGTCTTCATTCTTACAGTCCTTGCGTCTACCTTCCTAGACTTGGGTGGTGTGGTCAGAGCCTTTGCCAGTGAAGACCGAGGCAAAGAAGTCATTCAGAACCTCAGCCTTCTCCAAATCCTGTGTAGCCAGTTCTCCTGAGAGCTTCCTGAGGGGGCCTACATTCTCCCTAGTCTGTTTTCTATTTGCTACGTATCTGTAGAATCCCTTCCTGTTATCCTTAACATCCCTAGCCAAGTTTAATTCTAACTGGGCCTTAGCTTTCCTAACCTGGTCCCTAGCTTCCCAGACAACATCCCTGTACTCTTCCCATGCCACCCGTCCTTGCTTCTACCTTTTATAAGCCTCTTTTTTCCACTGAATTTTCCTCAGGAGCTCCTTATCCATCCAAGGAGGTCTCCTGGCCCTCCTGCTGCACTTCATTCTAGTTGGGATGCAACAATCCTGAGCTTGTAGCAGGTGATTCTTGAATATCAACCAAGAGTCTTGGGCCCCCTGCCTTCTAGGGCTATATCCCATGGAACCTTCCTAAGCATGTTAAAATTCAAACTGTTTTCTGCACATGGGTGAATCCCAAGCATGAATACAGGCTGGGCTGAGACTGAATTGAGAGCAGCCTTGTGAAGGACTTGGGGGTGTTGGTTGATGGAAGCTCAACATGACCCAGCAGTGTGTGCTCACAGCCCAGAAAGCCAGTGTACACTGGGCTGCAGCAAAAAGAGCGTGACCAACAGGTCGAGGGAGGGGATCCTGCCCCTCTACTCTGCCCTCATGAGACCCCACCTGTAGTTCTGCATCCAGCTATGGGGCTGCCAACACAAGAGGGACCTGCTCGAGTAAGTCCAGAGGAGGGCTACAGATAAGATCAGAGGGATGGAGCACCTCTCCTATGAAGACAGGTTGAGAGAGTTGGGCTTGTTCAGCCTGGAGAAGAGAAGGCCCAGGGGAGACTTTAGAGCAGACTTTCCAGTACCTAAAGGAGCCCTACAGGACATCTGGAGAGGGACTTTTTACAAGGGCATGTAAGTACAGGACAAGGAGTAATGACTTGAAACAGAGGGTAGATTTAGATAACATATTAGGAGGAAATTCTTCACTATGAGGGTGGTGAGATGCAGGAACAGGTTGCCCAGAGAAGTTTTGACTTCCCCATCCCTGGAAGCGTTCAAGGCCAGGCTGGATAGGGCTTTGAGAAACCTGGTTGAGTAGAAGGTGTCCCTGTCTGAGGTATGTTTGAACTAGGTGATCTTTAAGGTTCCTTCCAACCAAACTATTCTATGATTCTGTGATTCTTTGATGAAATTAGATGGCATTTGGATATCGTAGTTTAGCTCCATAGGTGGAATTTAACTCTGTTGATTTTATTGAAAGATGTATTCCGCCAAAGTACTTTTGTAGGTCTGAGCCTGAGCTGTAATATTTCTGCAGAGGATAACAAGTTGTTTTTTTTTGATGCGTCCTACCCAAGAAAATGCTGGAGTTTGTTACACATGATTTTGTTTGTTTATTGTGTTTTCTCAGAGCCTATACATAAAGAAACTCTTCTCCACCTTGTGATGAAATTGGGCTTGGTTAAGCTTTCCCAGTTCTTAGCAGCCCAGCCTGGAGGGTCATCAGCATTAGCATTACCTAATGATGATGGAGCAACACCATTAGATTTGGCTTTACAAAATGGACACTCTGAACTTGTAAAGGTCTTCACAAAGTGAGTATAACGGTTTGCCACTTCCCCTAAAAAACTCCTATCAGTTAAGCGATGTTGAGGAGTACTGGTGTTAATGAGAATTGATTATTTTGTGTTGGTTTCTGTTGCTTTTTGCCTTTATTACCATTTTAAGTGGTAAACTATTTGCAATTGAAGGAATTTTATGTTTTGCATCCTTCATTACATTTGCAAGTCAATTAATAGTCAGTTATGTGACAGAGGACCAGCTGCACCATCAGGTACCTTTCCAAGCACTGTTTGTTGTGGCTGAATCCTGACACATTACCAAAAAGTAAGGACACCCATTAAAACACATGTGGACAAATATTTATTTTTATAAATATATGTAAACAGAACCACAGGACCTTACTTTCACAGAAATTCAGCATACTTTGTGACCTGTGTAGAGCTTGGGTATGGATGGATAAGGGATGGATGGGTATCGTATCCATATGGGTGGATAGGCTGCAGCAAACCCAGTGCTGCAGCTATGACTATTTTGCCAGAGAGCTGCCACACTGATAAATGACTTGAAGTAATTTCTGGAACATTTAAATTGTCTGGAGTTTTGTATATATGGACCTGAGGAGCTGTGTGGGGTATATGTGTGTATCTTGGAGTATGAAATGTTCAGCATCAGTTGCCCCTTCTCACTGTTGGCTTTTATTTGTAAATAGAAATATGCAAGAACTGGGTTACATTTTTATTTGGTATGTGGCTCTTTTGGTTCTGGCTCCATGCAGCTTTATACTTTATGTGAGACTTAACCTGTACTTCAGTTTGAGAAAAACCTCTTGAACACTCGTATAGTACATTATGTTCTTGTATGTTATCCTAATGAATGTCTCATTTCTTTGTAACATACAAACAGTGCTGTGCTCTCTTGAGATACTTTATGTTCTTCACAGTTGTGGGATAAAAAACCTGCTAGCTGCCAGTTGTGTCCTACTGCTATACATGGCAAGGTTAACACGAAAAGGTACTATTGCTAATTTAGGAGAAATAGGTGTTGTCAAGGCTTGCTTTTGTGGCTTATTTTACTAATGAGTAACCATCTAGTGCTGACAATTATTTCCTGCTGATGGCTAGAAGGAGCTGTGTGTTCTTAGGCCTGAACAGAGTAACTGGTAAGTATTGTTTGCCCAGCTGTGTTTTTGGTGGGTGTTTCAGATTTTCTGCCTCTATTTTTTGCAGCAGGTACATTGAGATGCTGTTGGGATGTGTCAAAGACGAGACAGAACCTTGCTGTGGCTGTGCTTTCATTCTACCTGTGCGCAGAGCATCTGCTTTGGTTTAAATTGTATGTTGTTCCAGTTTCCAGGGCAGTCACTCGCTTGACATTTCAAGAGCGGAGATCAGTGAGGGTGCTTGTGTGCAGTTTATTCATTCATCAGGAGCTCTGACACTGACATTTAGCCACACCACACAGCACTTGCTGGAGTCAGACATTAAGCTCTTCAGAAAATACTTCTGGGACAGACCTCTTCTTTACCAGGTAAATACCTGTGTAGCTCAGGGGATTGTCCAGAGATTTTATTCAGTAATTTCCAACTATAGACTGTTTAGGCAGGATTTGTTTTTCTTGAGTAGCCTATCAGTTTAAGCTGCCTCTGTCACTAATGGCCCGCGTAATCACAGGATTACTGTTGTGGGCTTCTACTTTGCGTAAGTGTAGCACACTGTGTGTGTGAAGTTGGAGGATAAGAGCTGTTGAGCACTTTATCAAAGCCTCCTTTACCTCCCAGGTTGTTTGTGAATCAGTGTGGACTCTACAGTGAACCTTTCCTGCAATCTGTATGTCTTTAATTGCATTGCCATTGTATTCACGTTGGTACTTTGAAATATATAATTTAATTCTGTTCTTTTGTCTGGTAGTGTAATGCCTGGAAGCCTTTATCAAGAGCCAACCCCACTGTATCATTTACAGCAGAAATACAGAGTGCAGGCTTTTGCTACAGAGTTTACTTATGGCTTAGAAGGTCTTATTTTACTGTAAGGTGTCTAGAGCACTGCTGTGGTATTCTTCAGGATGCCTCTCAATTTCTGTGAAGTAAAGAGGAAAACACTTGAAATCACATGAGCTTTTTTAATAACAGTGCAGGTGCTCACTTATGGTTTTAGATTGATAATACATGACTATATAAAATTAGTGAAATAAAACCGCACTAAAAATAGGCTTTTTTTTTTTTCCTGGTCTTAAAATCTTTTACTTTCCATGCTTAAGTTATGCTTTCATACTTGGATGCTGATTTTCCTTGGGTTGTCTTTATTGCATTCTGTATGCTTTGGTTGGTTTTGTTTTAGCTTAGAGTGTGATCCATGTGTTACCTTTAACACAAAAACTTAAGGTGTGATGTATTGTATAGACCTTATGTGTAATCTTGTGTATCTACACTGCCAAGATTTTGATTTGTTCAAATACAAAGAAGTTCTTCGGTGTTTGTAGCTTGCAGAATACCTGCCGTTTGTGTGTAGCTTTTCCATGGAAACAATACTAAACTCAATAGCAAACCCAAGACTGTAATAAAGAATGCATTGTTATTTGTATCATTGACTCTTTCTTGCACTCATCAAATCCTTGTTCTTTTTTCAGTCTTTGAAATAGCAAGAGAAAGTGTGGTGTGGTAGATGTTTGCAGGGCTCTCAGAGACAAAGATTGTTTAAAGGCTTCAAAATTCTTTTCTTGGTGTTTTCAGGAAAAAAGCTACTACCTTTCACGCGTGGGTTTGCCTTTTGCTTATTCCTCTACTTGCAGCAGTCTAGATCCTCCATTGTGGAGACCTGTCCAGTGTTAATATCACACTATTTTTAATAAAGCAGAAATAAGCCAGAATAATTGGGAATATCACATGGTTTAGTTCATTTCCCATAATCAGAGATCATCCTGAAGTGATGATATGTGGGGGGATGATCAAAGTGTCACGTTTAGACTGGGGGGATGATCAAAGTGTCACGTTTAGTCTATGTGTTACGTGCAAAGGGTAAGGTAAAATTATTTTTTTTCTTGGACTTGCAGCCCTTACTTGGATCCAAAGCATAAGATAGCATTAGAAATTTCATGATACATAGTCTTTTTAAAATAGAGGTAGAATTTATTGCTGTACTTGAGTATTCAGCAGCAGACTAAGACTGTACATCTAGTTTATTGTATCTTGAGACTGCACAAATGACCACATTGCTATTTTAGGCTTGCGTCAGACATGGACTAAAGAGAAGGGATTTGTCTCAGTTATGGTGGCATGCAGCACTGTATTTGTATGCGTCAGTGCATGACCTAGGGATCAGCACAAACTGTTTTTGCATTTATTCATGCAAAAAAATCCCAATCTTTCTCAAATACGTTTTTTAGTCCCTGCTCTGTGGGTTCTTAGTCCCTTAACCAATCCTTACAAGTCTAAAGAGTAATGGAAAAGTTAAACAACTTGTCAGTAAGATAGTTACCCATACGGGAGCCATGCTCTCACTGGAGACCTGCAGGGGCTCTGCAGTTTAAAAAGTGTAGACCCACAGGTTTTGTGGCTGTGCTAGGCAATACAGAGGAGAGATTTTTGGAGATGATGAGGAAGAGTGTGGAATTGCTTGAGCTCTGTGGAACCTCCTTGGGACAGAAACTGCAGTGGTGGTAGCAGCACCCATCAGTGAGGTTGCATGGTTCATCATGCACCTCTAGCAAAGCCCTAAGCAGCATGTGGAGGTGATCCATTTGACTGTCTCTGTTGCTGGAGACAGCACAGTCAGTGCAGGGGAGAGGCACTCTGTGAGAGGAAAAGAAATCCGGGAGTAATGGACACATGTGAAATAGTGTCAGGGTATTAAACAAAAATAAAAAAGGCCGAACCAGGATAATCATCCAAAATGATCAAGATGACTTATGATAGTGTCAGTTATTTTGTTGCCTGGCGGTGGGCAGACCTAGTTGCCCTGGAAGCAGTTGATTTATTTCTGCCTGGCAGGTACAGGAGTAGGAAGCTGTCTGACACACAAACAGAGGAGCAGTGAAAAATGTAATTATCCCCACTGAGGTGGGGGTTATAGCTCACTTGACTGCTTTCAAATCAGTTTGGCTGCAATATTCTGCCTAGAGTCATCCTTCACTTTCATACTCAGGTTACCATGCCTCTTTTGCATTTGTTGCTCTGGTAGATGGCAAATACACAGCAACCTGACTAGAGGGAAAAAACTAAAAGCAAGCAGAGTTGTAGATGAAACTACTCAAAAGGAGACATTCTCTCCTCCACACCCTTTGCTTATATTCTTTGAAGGTGCTAAAATAAGGCATTAGATCTTAGCCCCCTCTTCCTCTTGAGCAGGAGTCATTAGTCAGTGTGTTTATCTGAGTGAGGGGGTCAGCCCAGCCAGGGGCCACGGATGCAGAGAGGGAGCAGCTCCTGGATTCCGAATGGGTTTACCACGTAGTTAGTGTTTAGTTCTGGTTTAGGTTCTTTGTATTGCCCACCCATCAAAATTTCTTGCTTTATAGAGATGCTCTCAAGGTTAACCAGACTTCTCAACAGAGCTGTTACGCAAAGCTGCTGTGCTGCTGTTATAGAGAAGGAGGTTATAAACAATGCATTGTAAATGTTAAATCTTATCCTTTGGCTTCCTTGTGTATTGTAACCAGGAGGTAATTTCTCATCTGCAATTAAAAATATTTTACCAGTTTCCCTCTTGAGGAATTGCTACTGGTTTCCTTTGGAGGGTAACCGACAAAATACTCTCTGAAATCTCTCTCAGTCATTTTAGTATTGCTTATAACATATTTGTTTGCTAGTCTTTGATACTGTTTTTGAGTTTTCAGATAAATGTCATATACATCAAATACAGTTATTGTAATTTTGATTTTTTTTTTTAATAGAGTATTAATTCAAACCAAGTTGAGATGATGGAAGGTCCAAAAATTGCCTGCACTACAACAAGCCATGCAGAAGGTACAGTTTTTATTCCATAATTTTAATTCCATAATATAGTTTTTATTCCATAATTTGCAGACTTTAAAAGCTTTAGAAAGTTGGCACAAATTCAGATACTGTTTATTTTTTCAGGAAGATCATGTTTCATGACACTAGAAACCTGTAAGTAGAAAACAGTGAAATACACTAAGAGTTGTGTAAATTGTGATACTCCCTACAGAGTGTATCTTTTCCATGTCAGACTAAAATGTGCACAAAATAGTATGTCATTTATAGTGACCAGAAATAAGTCTACTTATTTTAAATGACAGAAAAATGTCAGAAATTTCCAGGAGAGGGCAGTGTTTAACTGAATGAACACTCCAGTTTGCAAAATCCAGTAAAGCCAAACAAGTTGATAAAGATAGGAGCAAAATAACATTTGGTATGAATAGTTTTTGGGATCCAGTCCAGAATTCTTAATGTGGAAAAGTTCCCATTAGACATTCAATATTTTAGTGAGCATTTTACCTCCGTAAGTATTGTGGGATGGTGATGCTTGGTGATGAGAATGCCTTTTCATTACCAAAATATATGCTGGTATGCATTGGACATACAAGCATGTCTTACAGCTAAAAAGAAAACCACAAAAAAAGCATCAGAAGTATGACACTTTGGGCATTTACGTATGATTGTTAGAAACTAATTAAAGGTTTTCATCCATCAGTTGGCCATTTGCTTGTGTGACTGGTGCTGTATATCTGGATAAAGCAACAAGCTGGAAACCGTGAGCTCTGAGAGAGGTTCAGTGTGGCTCAGTGGCGGTGCTGGAGGCAGCCGGTCTGTGAGCACCTGCATAAACTGCTGATAGGACCAGGGACAGACTGAGGAAAAGGACTGCAGTTCCAGGTGGCAACTGCTAGAAACTTTTACATGAATGAATAAAATGGGGACATAGATGTCATGTAGCTCTTGTTTAAACATGTAGGCTGCCTTTTTTAGTTCTGGAAAAGGGAGTTTTATACCCAGTGTTTCCAGCAGCATTCTGCTATTATAAGGGAAATTTATAGAGAAATTATAAGCAGTTGTTAGTAGTTGCAAACTATGCATCTGTTATTTTAAGTGTAAGTGGCAATTTACCATACAAGGTTTGTGAATTAGTTTGCTGATGCAGAGTGCAAACATTGCCTCTGGGTAGTCATCTCCCCAGCATGATCTTTGTGCTCCTCCTCAGGGATAGAAAGTGCATGGCCTGGATTGGTAGCACTATATGTGGCAGTAGCTTGGGCAGTACAACTTATAGGTGATAATTACTTTGGTGTTTTTCACTAAAAGCAGTTTTAATTATGGCCAATTTGGCACAAGCAGGTAATGAACATCAGTGGATATTGGTTGTCCAGAGGGAGAATCACCACTTCAGGACATCTAGTTTCATTTTGGATTCTGATTGTAAAGTTTCTCATCCCCCCTTTACACCAAAGATACTTGACATAGATACTGGCATAGGCATATCTACCTATTTCTGTTTTCAACAGAAGTTACATACTTCTGTGCCTTTATGCATCAGAGTTATCTTGTGAGTGTTTAAAAAAATACCGGTAGTTCAGCAGCAAGAAGCAAAATATGCCATGTTTTGGCAGTATGCAGGACCTGTATACAAACACGCTGTAGTAATCATGCTTGCATGCTTTGCACTCTGTGTTAGGTACTTGTAGACATCAGGAACCTATAACTACTGTTTGTACACTGGTGAGCAGCAATGTTTTTAATCTGCTTGGGTTTTGATATTGTTATTGGTTACCGTGTTTCTATAAATGAGACTTTTTTTTCAATTTATTTTTTTTTTTACCTCTTTCACTAACCACCACCACATCCAGATACTGAAAAATCATGAATGATTGCTACTGGTGGCCAGTAGGCTGTCTTACACTATCCATTTGCCAGCATTTTCAAGACAGAATTAAAATCATTGCTACTAGAAGCAGAAATGATATGAAATGATTGACAGAATACTTTTTACTACATCTCGGTTGCATTCAGTGTATTCCTTTATAAAATGACTGCTAAGCTTAAGACATTAATTTGGCTCATTCATGTCATGAAAGGATCCCCCTCAGATTTTAAAACTGCTGCTATTCCAAGAAGTAGTAAATGCTCACTTCTGGGTGGACCTAGAGTCAAGGTAAATGAACTTTTAAAACACAGTGCTATCAGAAGCCCTGGGCTATTATCGAGTGGAGGTTGCTATAGCATTATGTTGTTTCATGTGAAATGCTGTCATATGAAAGCAGTGGGTCAGTGTAAGATGATGCTACTAGCTTAGCAGTGAATCTCCTATACCAACTTAATTAAATTCAAATACATGGAGTGATACATTATCCAGTAGGGATCCAGAGCAAAAGGTGAAATAGATGTTACTTTGCCTAATTCAGTAGTTTGTGCTTTTTTCTGTTTTCTGACCTTGAAATTCCATGCCAATGAGTTGACTGAATACTCTTAGGTATTGAGCAAACAGCTTTTTATTTCTGAGTATTGTGAGACTGAATAATAATACTAACAACAATAACAATAACATAATAATAATAATAATAATGCCAGTTATATGGCAGTACTGATTTTTTTTTTCCTATTGAAGTTTTTAAAGAAATTTTCTGCAGTTACAGTTATAGGAGAAATAGTCTGTTCCTTATAGCTGAAAAGCAGTGCCTGGAATGCTTTGTTTGATGACACTAGTGAATTTGTGTTCTGTGATTGTTACAATGCAAGGGGAGGTATACATGTGACTACTGCAGAAGGTTAATTAAAGAAGGTGGATTAATTAAAAATGATCAAGATTCTAATCGACAAGGACTCAGTCCTGACTCCTGCCAGCATGAAGTGGCACTACTCGGGTGAGGGACATCAGGCGTACTGGTTGCAGTGGGCCCATAACAGCACCTCAGAACTTGGTCTCTCAGAGACCTGCAGGTTAGGTAGGGTTGCTGAATTGTTGCTGAAGATTGTGTGGTCTCATTAATAGGCAGATATCTTTGAATTGTTTTTCCAAAGATACACTGATGCAGCTCTTTTTTCTAAACTCAAGTATAGACATTGTGCAGTGCCAAGAAAGGACAGAGGTCCCAAACCCCCACATTTCTTGAGACAGTCCCCCAGACCACCCTATACTGGCTGCTGAACCGTACTTAGTTCAACTATTTGCTGCAGCTTGAGAACAGAGGGGGATTCATGTATCTTGGAACAGATGTGAAGCTTGAGTTGGGAGATTCAATATAAAATAAAACATATTTACCAGCATAACTCTGGCTGTATAATTATTATTATTTAAAATATGTTCACTAAAGAATGAGGCTCCTGGAAGCCTGTGATGCTTGTGTTCATTTGCATTCCTATAGCCAGGTAACTCCTGTTTGCTCATTCACAATAGTCCTTGAGGCTGAGTCTGGGCAAAACTTGCGAAGTGCGTTCCTTGTTTTGCACATGCTGTGGTCTTCCCAACAGGCATGGGACAGAACCATTAGAAAAAAACACACATGAAAGCCCTGCAGAAGAAAAGCAGAGCACAGCTGCTCTGCAGAGCTGGTGTGAGGAATGGCAAATGATTTTCTGAGTCTGTGGGGGTTAATCAGCAGCTGGCTGAGAAATCGTGGTGCTTGCCTAGCCTGGACGTAAGTGTGACAATCACATAGCACTGTTGTGCATCCAGCTTTCACACTGCCCATGGAAACGCTGCTGTGGGGAGATACATGGGCTGCCAATATCCATTGGTCTGACTTGCCTGCCCCTTATGTCCCCCATCTATTTGAAAAATGAAAGTGACCAGCAGCAGCAACCAAAGCAGACCCAAATTGACGTTGCTTGTTACTAAAGGCAAGAATCTTCGCTTTTACAGGTCCTGTGAACTTGGCATATAGTGAATTGTCCCAGGACGATACAAAGGTATGGGTTTCTCTTTATATTAAACTTTGTTTAGGTTGAGAAGCAGCAACCTCTGCTTGGGTATCTGAGCACCTCTCAGAGCTAACAACTAAATAAGGTGACTAATGCCTACCAGACAACATTTCCTGCCCATTCCTATCCTGTGGGAATAGTTACATGCGGAGATGATTATTATTTGAAAGAATCTGTTAATGTGGTTGTGGGCTGGAAAGCTGGGCTGGAGAACCAAGCTGTGCTTTTGGACCAGACAGCTCTTGCATTTACGGTGAACCTTAGTGCACTTGGACGTTCAGCTGCCTGCCAGTCTGGGGGGAGCACAACCTGTTTTGACCAAGCGTCATCCTTAAGATAGCATGATTCATTACATCTGAGGAGTTAGTCTCTGAGAGAGATCTTGTGGGTAACTATGAGTCTTAAACTCGTCTTAACTGGAAAAAATGCCTGATGTAAAACATATGACAGTTCCCATTGTCATTTACATGGAGGTATCTAACAGCTTTTGGAGGGGAGAAATATTGTGAGAAGTCTCATTAATGGTTAGTCAGTTGTATTTGATCTCTAGTCTTCTATTCTGCCTTTTATTTATATGTATCTGCTTACAAAAACAGAAAACCTTTGTCTCAGTGTTTTTTTTATCACCTTTCAAAGCAGGAGGTAGGTAACTAGCTCAAGTGGGTGTGAAGCTAAAATGATGGTTCATTTTGTGAGAAACATCTGGCAAAAAATCTGGCAAATCTGATAAAGGTGTGTCATGGTTTTAGTCCAGCCAGTAACTCAGAACTGTGCGGCTGCTCCCTCACTCCCCACCACACCCTTCTTCCTCCTCCCCTCACCCCGCTCCTGGAGGGATAGAAACGAGAATCAAAGGAATGTAACTCCTGCGGGTTGAGATGAGAACAGTCCAGTAACTAAGGTATAACACAAACCACTGCTGCTGCCATCAATAATAATAATGATAAAGGAAACAACAGGGGAAGAGAATACAACCACTCACCACCCACTGACCGATACCCAGCCTGACCCTAGCAGTGATCTGCGCCTTCTGGGTAACTGCCCCCAGTTTATATACTGGGCATGACGTGCTGTGGTATGGAATACCCCTTTGGCTAGTTTGGGTCAGGTGTCCTGTCTCTGCTTCCTCCCGGCTTCCCCTCCTCCCTGGCAGAGCATGAGGCTCACAAAGTCCTTGGTCAGAGTAAACATTACTGAGCAACAACTGAAAACATCGGTGTTATCAGCACTGTTCCCAGGCTGAAAGTCAAACCCACAGCACTGCACCAGCTACTAAGAAGGAGAAAAATGACTGCTACTGATGAACCCAGGACAAGGTGATAGGTGGTAGTAGTAATAATAGCTACTAGCTACTAGTAGTAATAATAGTAATAGTAGCTAGTAATAATAGCTAGTGTCTATTGATATTAATAACATCTGAATTTAGTGGAATGTTGTTGGACAACCACTTTTGTTTGGTCGTTATTACAGAAGTGATGACTTTTTTTTATTTTTTTATAATTGCCAGCTGTGCAGAAGTTTGACCATTTGTTTGGGATTGTTACTGTTGTAATTATATAATCTCAGAATTATATGTCTGCAGTACACATGCATTTTGGAATCTATGTTGAAAGTGTATGTTGGGGCAGAGTGTTGCAGTTTACAAGTTTTGCTGAGGGGAAAAGGTTCTGTTAGCGTATTGACTGTCTCTTGTTTTGATCTTCAGAAAGGCCATAATTGACTATAAAGAATGAACTTAGCTAGGATATATCTATGGGTGTGAACAACGCTGGCATTAGGGAGGCATCTTAGAAATACATTGCTCTTTCCTGCAAAACACTGTATATTGGGTAGTCAGGGCACTGTTAAACTTTGTAAGAGGAGAACAGACTGAAAACTGGAGTTTGCTTGGGAAGTGATTTATTGTTTGGGGTCCTCTTCAGTTGTGTTTAGAGTTTGAGCCTATAGGGTTAATGTTAGAGTCTGGGAGTAGTATGCTGTATTTGTTGCATTTATTAAAATGGATAAAAGAAAGTGACTGCTGCTTGATAGTGTTTGAACTGAATATTGAAAGCCTATAGCACAGCTTACAACTAATCACAAATGTCTTCAAAGTTATAGCTCAAGTTTTCTGTTTCTAGCCTTTCCTAGACTCCATGGTTCCTTCTAAAGAAAATGAAGAACATGTCCTTTCGGGTATAGGTAAGAAATAATTAATAATTTTGATTTCCCAAAAGCTGTTGATGTATACTAATGTGATGCCAAATACTCATAGGGCAGTTTCTTTAAAAGAGGTGAAGGTCACCGACACTGCGGCCTAGCTTGGCGGAAGATCAGTTTGGTCTGTGTCAGAGAGAGAACTTCTTCCGAAGCATCGCTAGCATAGAAGGGTGGTGTATCCAGCAGTATCATGATACCATAGGATTTTTCAGTAGTATACTAACTGCTGTAGGAGCAATAATCTTGAAAATAATTTCTGACAGAGCCAGCATGTGACTGAAGGTGAAAAGAAGCAAGTAGAAATGTTTAGACTGCAGAATGGTTAGTTGTGGGGCTGGTAGAGGAATATAGCCAGTTGCACTAGGCAGTACATTTAGAGATTGAAACTCAAATGGGAGGGTCAGTATTTTCAAGTCTGGGGAAAGCTGCAAGAACTATCTGCAAACATAGGCTCATGAAAAGCACAGCAAAAGACAATGAGTAACTAAGCTCTGCCAGTGGGAGCTGCTGTGCCAGGCAGAGACAGCCAGGATGGCATCATTTGCCTGTGGTCCAGTGCTGAGCTCAGAAAGAGCAGCCCAGATGGTGGCATTTAGACAGTCCATATGCAGACTTTGGTGGCTGCAAAATGAAGTGTCAGTCTCTGTGTAGAAAGGGAGAGGATATATGTGCATGCATGGGGGTGGTTTTTGTTAGAGGGGAATGAACTGATGTAAACTCAAGAGGCACAGTTGTAACGTAAGAAGCTGGCATATGATTATTTTAATAACCTCATTCAATTATAATTCAACAATTATGTTATTAATGAATTAATAACATAGATTAATTCATCTATGTTATTAATGAATTAATAACATAGATTAATTCATCTAGTTATCTGTTTTTCTAGTCACTGTTATGCCAAATGCCTGTACTTCAGCCATGTAAGTGCTTGTCTCACTCTCCCATCCAAGGGTTACCAAAGCTCCTTAAGGGAATTGTGAGTATTAGCAAACATAGTAGTACTCACAGTTATCCTGACTTCAGTGCTTTTGAGCATAGGACAGCATAGCAGTCCTTGCCTTGCTCAGTAATGCAGTGCATGTACATGAGATGTTACTACCCATATGATAAAATTTTTTTTTGTCAAGTGAAACCAAAGTGTTGGACTGTATCTCAGCGTAGGAGGGTGTGGAGCCATTGGGGAGGGATTATGGTTTGCTAATCTGAAATCACATCTGCTACAGTCTCTGCTGCACTTATACCATCTGGAAGGAACATAAGGTAGCTTGAAAGTTGACAGGGTGAAGTTCTCCACCCTGAAATTATAGCTGATTCTTTTTCTTAGTTCTGAAAAGCCTTTTCCTTCTAAGGCAGTGCTGCTTGTGACAGCTGGAACAGGAACCAAGCTCTCTGGCTTCAGACTAGCTCAGTCTCCTCTCTGGTGCTTGGATGGGCAGCTGTAGCAGATCCTGAGTCCTCTGCAGACAACAAGCAAGCAATTTTGGCCATGGTTCCTACTGTTAGGAGTGTTTGAGTATAGATTCTTAGAGGAGCTTTGGGGTAAAAAAAAGTGGTGAATTTGCGTACAACTTCAAACAAGATTTAGGTGCTTAAAATTTTATTTAAATATATTTTCTTAGAATCTTACGTATGCATGACTGAAAATTCTAAATATGGATATGAACATGTAGATACACATCTATCTGTACATATACATGTATATATAAATACCTTTTGTCCCATGCACAGGCTCAGTTAATATTAAACCAAGAAAAATCCCGTTTTACCTCTTACCTGAAAAAAACCCATCCCTCTGTCTCTCCCCTAAATTCTAATTACTGTGTAGTACATTTAAGAAGTTGACTTGTTGTGGGGAAGCTGCAGTGAAATTGGTTCTGCTTGGTTTAGATGTACATTGCTGTAACTGAGAATTCGGTTGCTCTCTGTAAGGACTGGAGCATGGACTCGCTGCTGGCTGGACTGTGGGCTCTCCTTGCCTATCTCCCCATTGCATACTCAAGTTGGCTGTAATGCTCATAACAGACATCTGATATGATTTTGCTACTGACCGTGGCAGGGCCTGGGTGCTGCCAGTCAACACTGTGTGTGAGATCTGATGGGGCTGAAGTGTAGGCTGGGGGGTGAGTGGGCTATTGGGCATGCAGTAAAAGGTGGAAGGGGAGGGATGAGGAAGGATGGAAATAGAGTTTGGTGACAACCAGAAATTTATAACTTAAGCTGGTTTTATTGGTTTATTTGAATTTAAAGATCAGTATATGTTCTAACCTGACTCATAACGCATGACTAAATACCAGTTTTATTATCCTGGATTGTTTTAAACTACTTTTTAAAAAATTGCTTGGCAATGTTGTTAAATGGCGATGTTTTTGGCAGGAAGAGCACACAGTGGGGGATAAAGAGAGAAATGGAAACGGTTGTCAGTGGGGGAGAGGAAGAGGGAAAACAGCTAAGGGGGTTTGAGTGAAGAAGAATGAATAGAAACAAGCAAACTCTGGAAGCTCACTGGAAATTTGAGCCTAAATCAAAGAGGACTTTTAAGAGTGAAAATGTGAATGCTCTTTGAATGGGTACAGATCAACCCACTTGTGCTTCTAACTTCTTTTTCTCTGTGGTTGTTGCTTTCTGAAACCTTTACCAAAAATCAATCTCATCGTGGAATGCTTTGGGTTGGAAGGGGTGGCTCCTGGAAAGGCTTTGCTGTTCCTGCTCTCTATTTTCTTCCCCAGCCTTCCTTTCAAGCATATTGACCATTCTGTCTCCCTACAGCCAACAAAGTTTTGTGAGTATATTTGCAGGGGCATTTGCAACAGTCGGTAGGATGCTAAAAGCGTAACGGTTTTCCTTGCTCCCTGTGTTCTTCATCACTGGGTTGGGACCTGACAGGCACCAGCTGAATCTTGCAGTTCAATTTTGAGAACTGTAGTTCAATTTGTTGCACAAGAGGCTTCTAATCCTCCAGGAGAGCCCTTGGGGTCCCACCCTTGTGAGTGTCAGGATAGGGATGGGCCAATAAGAAGCCAGGAAGATGATTGTTTAGGGGTTTCCATATTCAAGTATTGAAGAAATAGGAATAAACTGTGGCACACAACAGGATACTAGACTATGCTGGACAGGAGTTCTATGGACAGTCCTGAGTTCAGTGCTGTTCACACCTGCCAGTCTTTCTCCTCTCTCTGTATCCCCTGGAAATTGTTAAAGATCTGTTTCTCATTAATGAGAGAAAAAAAAAAAAAAAAAGGTTGTTTTTTTTTTTTTTAAATTCATTGAGAGAAAACACACTGGAAAGATTGAGAGACAAAAGCAATATCCAGTTGGAGTGGCTGAATGAAAGCAACAAAAAAGAAAGATTTTTTTTTTTTCCTTACAATGTTAAAATATTGAAATATTATGTATTATTGCCAGGCATTGTCATCCTCAGAGTCAGCAACCCTGTACATTTTGGGAGAGAGACTAGGAGGTGACAGTTGAATGCTGTTACTGTTGGGCATGTGACAGTGTTAGCTGGCATGTGTTTTTAAACATTTATAATTCCTTCCTCTTTTGCATAGCTGCTTTGGGAAGAAGATATTCATATGGCCATTTATAAGGTTTCTCTTTTAGAAAAATCTAACCCCTGTTTTTTCTCCCAAGGAAATACAGTTTGTTTGTTTCCTGTACTTCAGGAAGGGAGGACGATGGTGTTTTCTTCAAAATATTTTCCCTGCTCTCCTAGTTACAGTGCCAGTTACCTAGTGGTGTCTGTCTAATCTATTGTACTTGCTCTACCAGCGATGAAAAAGTTCTACAAGCCGTGTTTTGCAAGAGATAAAAATACTGATGCCAGATTTTTGGCAGTTTGCCTTATGTGACCAGGCAGCTACAAAACGTTTTTAGTAGAGTCTGCATTTTGATTTTCATGGCTCCACAGAAATCACAGTTCAACCACAGATCAGTTTGAGGAACAGAACTTAATGATCTTCTCTGTGTAAACCAGTAGGGCTGCACTGTAATCTGCAGGAAAATCTAGTTTCAGTATTGATGTTTTGTTCTTTTTGAATTAGATTTCCTTACCCTGATTGGCCAGACTTAAAAAGGTGAGTTTGTTAAGATAGAAAAAAGCAGGGTCCTGCTCTCAGGAGTCCCACCTCTGTGCAGTTTTTGTTAAGTCTGTAAAATGATTAGTTTTTGTACTAACTGCAGTCATGTTTTTGACATGCAGGCTCCCTTTTAGTGTTCATTTGCTTTTGGTTTTTGGTGGCCAGCATGTTTGCATTTGGAAGTGTTTTGAGTCAACTGTGCCCATTTTGACATTGGAACTATAGGCAATAATTTTATACTTACTGATAAATAAAAGCAAAAGTTACATGCTGAGAGTAGCCTATTTGAGACTGTTACAAGTATCTTATGATTAAGACTATTCAGATCTTTTCTGTTTGTGGTAATTTTTATCTTTTTCCTGGCAGCTTTTGATCTTATCTTTCTCTTATGTATGCTTCGAGAAAGGTTGGGTGATCCCGATGAATTATCTCTAGTCCAGGAGCTGCAGACCTTTGCTTCAGTTTCTCTCTTTAACAGATTTACAGTAGGACCGTGGGCATGTCACTTGTCTTTTCGCAATGTCTTAGTTTTTCACCTGAAACAAGAAAGACAGAGTGAGGTGAGAAATGGGCACTGCAATACTTAGATGATTAGAGATGTGCAAATACTTAGACTGGTTGTGCCAAAGACATTCTGGAAGGTCAGTTAGTAGTAAAGGAGGCTTTTCTAAAAACTTGTAATTATTTGAAAAGTAGGTGGTCTGAAAATTGCAGAGGAAAATAATAGCTGAAGAAAGCTGAAGGTTTGCTGCAGCTAATCACTGCAGCAATTGCACTCTGCCCTTTCTTGCTGCAGCTTTCAGAGACCTTCATGTAGATGCTTCAGCTTCTGCAAATCATTTGCATGGTTCCTTGCACCTTGCAGAGGACTTGGGGTTGATCTGTCACAGTCCTCCCAGAAAC